GTCAAGAGCCTTGGGGGATCACTGACGTCATACATAAATGTTAATTGTTAAATTAACAACAGGAGTCACTGTGCACTAACTTCCCATGCAGGACCTGTGTCCTCAAAGAGCTGCATTATAATTATGTCTAAGTGCTTGCAAAAGATGTATCATTCTTGGGTGCTTCTTTAAAGTCAATTAAGTTTCTAAAAAAAAAAAAAAGGGAAATTAACTTCAAGATGCAATGACTTTGAACAGCCCTTCTCTCCACTGTTGAGGACAGGTTTTTTTTTTTTTAATTGTTTTTTTTATGCAAATTGTTGAACTCTTAGTATAGAGTTGTTCTTCTGTGTATAAAGTTAATTGAAAATGGATCTTAGTGGAGAACGGCACTGGGAATGGGAGAGGGAGGAGAAGGAGGGGTGAGAGTGGGAGTGGGAGGGCAGGTACAGTGGGAAGAATCACTATACTCCTGAAGTTGTACTTATGAAATACGCGAAGTTTGTATCCCTTTTTAAAAGATTTCTTTGGGGGAAAAATTAATGTGACTTGGAAAAAAAATACCCACCTATTATCCAGTAATTCTGTACCAAAACTACACGAGAGGAAAATATGTCCCCACAGACATGTATGTGAGTGTTTATAGGCGCATTGTGCATAAGCACCAAACAATGGAAAACCGACTATCCACCGGAGGGTGAACGCATAAATAAAGTGCAGTACTTCCACAGAATGGAATCCCAGTCGGCAGTAAAAAGGACGTAGGTATCGATGCAAGCAACAACTCAGGTGAACCTTAAGATCTACAGCTGGGCACTTCAAAATGTCTGGAAAATGGGATTAGAAGATAATTTTGGTGCAAAGAAATTTGAAATTAAAGCATCTGAGAAGTCTTCAAAAATGTTCAAGGAAAGTATGTACTGAGAAAACTGCATTAAAAAAAAAACTATGTATGGACTTCAATTTTATGTATGGGCTTTAAATTTTTGCACCAAAATAAACTGATTTTTAAAATTTTATTTTCCATGAACTTTGTACAGTTCTTGAAGTACCCTCATTCTATGGAAAAGCAGCCACGCCCAAGAGCATAACTACTGTGTGACTCTGTTTATGTAATCTTTCAGCAAAGACAAAATTGTGGCGACAGAAAGATTAGTGTTGCCCGGTGCTGATGGTGAACCTCAGATAGGGAATTGAGACCTTTTTGGGGTGACAGATGCGCTCTCATAGTAGACTGTAGTAATTGTCACACAAGAATATCCAATCACTAAAAATCATCCAATGATACAAAGTATAACATGTACACTTTATAAGTTATATATGCAAATAAAACCCTAAAAGACAGAAACACATTTTTAAAAATACATCACTCCCCCTAGCTTCGTTAAGATTCTACCCCTAAAAAGTCACACAGCATTTTGAGAACCGAACTTCACAGCTGCTGAGCTGACTTACTGACTTCAGGAATTTATTTTTGGCACTCAAGTTTAAAGCAGTCCTGACAAACGGTAGCCTTGTTTGAAGTCTATCCAACAAGAGTCTGCCAGGAGAGGCAGGAGTAGCAGGGTGTGGCTGGTGCCACAAAGCCCCAGGGAGAGCAGCTAAGCCTAAGGTGGCAGGAAGCCAGGAGACGGGGCCAACACAGGCTGCCCATTATCATCAGTAACCTCTCCGCCTGGTGACCTAAGAAAGGCAGGGTCAGTCACAGACCCACAGGAGGGAAATCCTAGGCTCACGGTGATCGCATACCCAAATACCAACAAATCCTCACCTGTTACTGAGATGTGTTTATCCTTACGAAGGATTAGTGCTAACACTGAATTTAGAAAGTGTAGTTCCTGCATGAGACAGCATCAAAGGGTCTGGGAGTTGAGTGCTCCAAATCTGTCAACCTGCTTGTTTTATGTGGGATCCAGGATGAAGACTATTATGGGGCTGGCGCTGTGTGCAGTGGGTTAAGTCGCTGCTGCCATGCCAGCACCCTATATGAAAGCACTAGTTCGAGTCCTGGCTGCTCCACTTCCAATCCAGTTTCCTGCTAATGCACCTGGGAAAGCAGCAGAGGATGGCCCAAGTGCTTGGGTCCCTGCCACCCACGTGGGAGACCTGGGTGGAGTTCCAGGCTCCTGGCTTCAGCGTGACCCAGCCCTGGCCATTGTGGTCATTTGTGGATGGAAGTTCTCCCTGTCTGTCTCTGTCACTCTGCCTTTCAAATAAAGAAATCTTTAAAAAACATGAATATTCTTCCTTAGCACCTGAACTTTCATGGAGTTTTCTGTGAAGGCCTTAAATGATTATTAAAAGGAATAGTCATTTATTTGAAAGGTGGAGTTACACAGATGGGGAGGAGAGGAGAGGAGAGGAGAGGAGGGGAGGGGAGGGGAGGGGAGGGGAGGGGAGGGGAGGGGAGGGGAGGGGAGGGGAGGGGAGGGGAGGGGAGAGGAGAGGAGAGGAGAGGAGAGGAGAGGAGAGGAGAGGAGAGGAGAGGAGAGGAGAGGAGAGGAGAGATCTTCCATCTGCTGGTTCACTCCCCAAATGGCCATACCAACCAGGGCCAGTCCAGGCCAAAACAAGGAGCCAGGGGCTTCATCTGGTCTCCCACACGGATGTAGGGGTCCAAGTACTTAGGCCATCTTCTGTTGCTTCCCAAGATGCATTAGCAGGTAGCTGGATCAAAAGTTGAACAGCTGGTACTCAAAACTTGCTCTCAGGGCCGGCGCTGTGGCATAGCAGGTGGGGCTGCTGCCTGCAGTGCCAGCATCCCTTATGGGCGCTGGTTCGACTCCCGGCTACTCCACTTCCAATCCAGCTCTCTGCTATGGCCTGGGAAAGCAGTGGAAGATGGCCCAAGTCCTTGGGCCCCTGCACCTGCATGGGAGACCCAGAACAAGCTCCTGGCTCCTGGCTTCGGACTGGCACAGCTCCAGCCATTGTGGCCGGTTGGGGAGTGGAAAGGCGGATGGAAGACTTCTCTCTCTGCCTCTCCTTCTCTTTCTGTGTAACTCTTTCAAATAAATAAATAAATAAATAATCTTAAAAAAAAAAAAAAAAACAACAACGGTGCTCTCATATGGGACGCTGGCATCGCAGGCAGTGGCTTAGCCCACTGTGCTACAATGCTGGCCCTTAAGGGATATTAAGTCACAGACTTCTACCTGCAGCCAAATCTCACTACCAGGGACAGTGATGGGACAGGTCAGCTCACTCTGCATCAGCGTAGAGGCGTATCTGCCCTCCTTCTCAGGGAGGGTAGGTATTTGGGACGCCCACACCTCATGTCAGAACGCCAACATCTGAGTTCCAGCTGGGCTCCTAACTCCAGTTTCCTGCTTATGTACACCCTGGGAGGCAGCAGGTAACGGCTCAAGTAGTTGCGTCCCTGCCATCCATGGGGGAGACCTGGATTGAGTTGCGGGCTCCTGGCTTTGGCCTGGCCAGCCCCAGCTGTTGCAGGCATTTGGAGAATGAATCAGCAGATGGGTGCAAAAGCCCGGCTCTGTAGGAGCTGCTCTGGGCCCGCAGGTGGAGCAGAGCCCACTGGCGGGTCAAGATTCCCGGGTCCTTATGCGGGGTTAGTTGGGGTGCTCAGTGTTCATTGGTCGGTCTTTGTCATCACATCCCAAAGGTATCTTACACTCAAGATGTGAAAGGGCAGGCCCATTGCTCTTCTTTCACCGGTACTTCTCTAAGAAAAAGGCCACAGATAGGCAAAAAGAGACTTTGCATTTGCAAACTGGCCACCTTTAATACTTTTATTTAGCACTTCCACCCTCCGGCAGGGACGGGCGGGCGGGTGGGGAACAGGCCAGCTGCTGGGGAGCGTTCGCGATGGGGTGCCACAGAGGAGCTTCAATGCATCACCTACCCCCCTCCCCACTCCCAGGCCGAAGCTGGAAGCCAGCAGCATCCTCTGGGTCTCCTACGCGGGTGCAGGGGCCCAGGGACTTGGGCCATCCTCTGCTGTTCTCTCAGACCTTTCGCAGGGAGCTGGATGGGGACTCGGGCAGCCAGGACATGAACCGGCACCCATATGGGGTGCCAGTGGTGCAGGCGGCAGCTTTACCTGCTGTGCCACAGCGCTGGCCCCCAGATGGGGAGATTTCTAAGCAGAGTTTTGGTTCCTCCTAACCACATGTGCACCCATCTCGGCCTACCTGCATTTAAAAAAAAAAAAAAAGTGAGCATGTTCAGAACACCAATGTGGCTGACCAGCCACTGGACAGCGAAACTTGTGTGGGTGTGAACCACAGGCCTGATCGATCGATCAATCAATCAGAAGCCTGGAACAGCAGACATGCTGCCAGCTAAGATCAAGACAGAGAAAATGAGACGGGATGCAGGAAGGCGGCAGACATCTGTTACCCTTTGAGAGGACGTAAGAAGACCCCCCAAAGGCAATGTGATGACCAGAGCTGCTGGTCTCACCGCAGGCCCAGAGGGCACCACTCAGGGTGCATCGGGGGACAGCCTCCAAGGGCAGCACCAATGCCCAGCAGGGCCACGTGGCCAGCACTGGAGCTGAAGGGGCTGTTACCAAAGGCAGCATCGGCCCTCTGAGCTGCCGCTCCAGTGGTGTGGAAGGTGGGCCCACCACTCACGTGGGCTTGGAGGGCAGAATGCTGAGCGAGGGGTACTCTGAAGCCCTGAGGTCTGGTGTCGGTTCAGCGGGAAGGAGCTGGTAGGAAGGCCAGGCTGGCACCTGGGCAGCTGTGCGGGGCGAGGAGCTGAGCTGAAGCAGGCCTGAGAGGCCCAGGAGGGCGGAGGGCTGCCTATGCTCGGCCAAGAAGCCAGGGAACAGATATGGCCAACTCAGAAGGGAATCTGAGCCCTCAGTGGAGGAGAGGAGGGCTGGTACCACCAGGGGGTGCTGCTGTCCAGGGCCAGGAGCCACGGTGGGTGGCCGTGGCCTTGCTCTGGACGTACTGTGAGATGTGCAGGAGGTTATTTTGCTGAAAGTCCATAGTTTTTTGGCAAAACATTAGGAAAATGACCTGAAACAACCGCCACCCGATAGGCCAACCTTGAAGGTTTCTGAGAGAGAAAACACGATTTTAATGAGGACTAACTTTAAGGCCGGAAAGTCACACTTGTCATTCACACTGCTACTTTTCCAACAGGAAGGAGGTCACCAGCCAGCCCGTCAGGTCTGACTTGATCTCCCAGAGATGCTGCTACAACTCTACAGAGGAACGGCCGTGACGCCCTTGGCGGTCAGCCCAGGGCGGGGGCTTGGCAGCCTGCCTGTTCCTGTCCATCACCCGGAATGGGGGCGGGCACCTGGGCCTCCGGGCACCTTCTCCTGGGACCACAGCACAGGTAGGGTTTGGCACATAGTCTTAATTCTCTTTGACTTTCACATTGACAGAGTCAGCCAGCCGGCAGGAGCAAGGAAATGAGGTCGAGGCTGCTGCCTTTCAGAAAAGCCGGGCTCACTCCTGCCAGCCCTGGGCCCACGGGCAGAGTGCGGGTGTGAGCGCCACGGCTCAGCTCAGGGCAGCCGCCCCGTCACCCTTTCTACAGCGCTCGCCGGTGGCTGGGGCCCGCTCCTCGCTGGGGCCCGCTCCTCGCTGGGGCCTGGGATTGTATTGCTGGTGAACTTGGTTACCCGACTTCTGGCCATTTAGTCCAGGACGGTGGCATTTTCTGGAATGGGCCTGGCGGGGCGCGTCCTGCTGAGATGTGTCAAGATGGCACGGATCACCCCTGCTCGTCTCTGGCCCCACGGGAGGCCCCTGGAGGTGGGTGGAGAACCCCCTGCTGCCCACCAGAATGGGCAGAGACAAGCAGGACAGTCAGGATGGGCAAAACGCTGCCCAAAACCACAGCAGTTCAGCTCTGGAGCCCAGCAGCTCCACTCTCAGCCATGTCGCTTTTCAAGGCTCAGAGATGCCTCCCTTCTCAGGTGGGAAAAAACCTTCACTCGCCCTCACTTCCCACAACCACATGCCTTGTGCTGAGCGAGGGGAGTGCTTGGCAGGCAGAGGGCTCCGAGATGGGCGACTGGAGAAGGGCATCCTCTGCCCACCACTGGACATCACAGGGACAGACAGCCGCAGAGGGAGCGTCTGCCCAGGGCGCAGACTGGAGCCTGCATTAGTCTCTGTCGTTTGTGCAGTCCCTTAGCTCCTCTGTCCCTCCTGAAAAGGCTGGGGGCCTTCCCCACAATCCACTGCTGGCAGACGAGGGACCTCCCCACCCCACCCCAGCCAGGAGAGCCGGGGTGCACCTGACACCAAGCCGTGTTTTCTCCTGGTGGGTCTCTGACCGCCAAGGCTTGGTCTTCTGTCCCCTCTGGGGGACAGAGAAGTCTAGTGGCATCCTGACGACACTCGTGGGGAGGGGGCGTGGGGCTGTGTCCTCAGCGACCTCACGTCCAGACTCCGTGGCAGCAGCCAGGGTGAGCGTCCTCCACCAAAGTGCTCAGGGCCCAGGGGGACCGAGGGAGTCCTCGAGGGGGCCGCAAGGAGGAAGTGTCGATTCTGTGCTCGGACGTCCTGCAGGTCGGCCCCTGGTCCAACAGGGATATCTGGATCCCCACGTCCTACACATTAGTTGAGCAAAAACTCTGGCTTCTGATACCCAAAGAGTCTGAAGTCCCCCTCGAAGCGCGCGTACAGGCGCCGGATGTCTCGCTTGCTGATGCCCAGGAAGTAGTGTTCCACCTTGGTCCTGTTGTAGGCGGTGATGCCCGGCGGGATGGTCGGGTAGGACACCAGGTGGTCGATGCCAGCTTCTCTCAGGATGTACGGCGCGTCATCCTCCAGGGTCTCGTGGTGGCCAACCACGCTGTACTTTATCTCGCAGGGCGCGCACAGCTCCACGTAGGTCACCCAGTGGATGATGCGGTCCCCGAACTGCAGGTCCAGCCACCTGTGGTTCGGGTCGCCCAGGTAGCGCACGAAGTCCTCGAATTGGATGCCCCGGGTCTCCGTCCGGTTCCGCCTGTATTTCCTGATGATGCCGGGGGCGATCTCATGCCTGTACCAAGGTTCGAACCGGGGATTGTGAACAAACTTATCCTTAAACGCAGAAATAAGTCTTTCGAAGGGATCCCTTACGATAAAAAACTTGAAGTATGTTTTCAACCTAAGGGAAAGAAAAAGGAAAACAAACAAGAGGTTGGTTTGAGAGGGTGTGGAGAACGAACAGAACCCATCACAGCCGCAGCTGCTGCTGTTTGCTGAGCCCTCCCCCAGGCCCAGCATCCCATGCGTGTCTTGCTGATCCTCTCCAGGATTTGTGAGGTCAGCTTCTACCGACCCATTTTACAGGTAAGGACACAGAGGCCTGGACACTTTAACTGTCCAAGACACGGTACTTGCCCTAGGGTGTCACTGTGAAGACATCTGTTTCATCTCTATTTTACCTGAGTAATTCAAAACTTCAAAGAATGATGGAAAGGTCTGGCTCGAGGCAGAAAAATCCCAGGAGCAGGAACTCTGAGTTGGGAATAAACGGAGCTCAGGAAAAGACGTGCCTTTGGGGCTGGCGCTGTGGTGCAGCAGGTTAAGCCACAGCCTGTGACACCGGCACCCAGATCTGAGTGTCAGCTCAAGTCCCAGCCGCTCCGCTTCCGACCCAGCTCCTTGCTAATATTCCTGGGGAGGCAGCAGAAGATGGCCCAAGTGCATGGGGCCCCAGCCCAGCTCCTGGCTTTGGGCCTGGCCTAGTCCTGCTGTTGTGGGATCTAGGGAGTGAATCAGCGGGTGGAAGTTCTCTTTCTGTTTCTCCCTGTCACTCTGCATTTCAAAGAAATAAATCTTTTTTTTTTTAAAGATGTATCTGTAAGGATACACTTCACGATTGCTAGGGGAAAGAAAAACCGCAGTGAAGATAGAATTGAGAGGCAACAGAGGGTGCGGCTTTGGGCTCTGGCTGGGCAGGGGCGGCACGAAGGGCTGCAGCAGTGACATCGATGACAGGTGAAAAGAATGACGAGGACACGCTGTTCTCACGGCGCGCTTACTAAGTGTCAGAGACTGTTTTCCATATCTGAACTGAGACTCCCCAAGGCCCCCTGGGGTAAGTGCTTGGAGAGGAAATGGGGCTGTCAGGAGGGTTTCTGCCAGGGGTGTGCACTAGCTGGGAGGCCTGAACTCACCGCAGCTGAACGCCAGGGAAGGCAAGCGGTTGCGGGGCAGACGGCCAAGTTCAGCTGCGGCCCCTGCATTCCTTTACCTGGTGCTCCGTGGGGCCACTTCACAGCTCATCTATTGGTCAAGGGCTCCATCCATGCTGCAGTCAGAGAGGTCGGTGGCCCTGCCTTGCCTGTGCTGGCTGCAGTGTGCATCCACCACTCCTGGGGCAGCTCCCCACGCAGCAGGCACAAGGCCTGGGTAAAAAGTGAAATACTCAGAAGGGTCTCCCTGCGGCCCAGATGCCTTCTTTATCAAGAAAACAGCACAGGTGCTGAGGAATGCATGCCCCTGGACGAAACCCACCGCTCGTTTCTGCTCACAGGACTACCTAACCCTCGCGTGGGCTGTGTGAAGGAAAACCAGGAACGGGATCTGAACTTCCCAGGAGGACTTGAGACTGCACACGTGCCGCAGGCTGGGGCCGGTGCTGTGGTGCCGCGGGTTAAGGCACTGCTTGAGGCCTGTGCCCCATATCTCAGTGCCAGTGCAAATCCCAGCTGCTGTGCTTTCAAGAAGTAGCAGATGATGGCCCAGGGACTTGGTCCTTGCCATCCACATGGGATGTGCAGATGGAGTTCCAGGCTCCTGGCTTTGGACTGGTCAAGCACAGGCTATTGCCTGTAGGGGAGTGAACCAGTAGATGAAGCACGCGCGCTCTCTCTCTCTCTGCTTTAGGTGGACTAAGAGGAAACAGAGCCGGGAGCCGGGGCCCACGGCCAGTGTCTTCTAGGGTTTCCAACAGCCCCCTTGTATGCGGCTCTTACCTCCTCTGAATCCCCGCGTCGCTGAAGGACGAGAGACGCGGGAGGCCGTTCTTCTCATGGTCGTGAACCACGTTCTCGGGGATCTCATCAATGGAAGGAAAGGCTCCTGGCAGGGGAGGGGCGAACAAGAGAGAAAGGCGGTTGTCCTGCCGGTGTGCCCATCTGTCTCCCACCTGAGCCCCCTGCTCCCCAGGGGGCACACAGCAGGCCCACGCCCGCTACCCAGGCTCAGCCTTCTGAATCCCAGCTGCGTCTGCGGGCAGGATGAGAGAGTGAGGAGGAGTTCTTGCTAAGCCCGGGGCCAGCTGGAGGAAAGATGGGCGGCCACAGGGAGGAGGGGGCAGGAGCAGGGCGGCACCACTGGCCATGCTACCTTTGGCAAGGCACCTAGACTGGGCTCCATGTGGGACTGCTGCATGCAAACAGAATCCCTGAACACTGCACATCCCGCTCTGCTCCGCGAATGGGGAAATGCCAGAGGGGCGGGACTGGGGACTGCAGCGCTGACTTTTACCACCACCATGGTCAAGGTCCTCAGGGCAACCCCAGGCTGAGATCCCCAGCACCACCTCCCAGGACTGTGGCTCTTCAGGTAACCTCACAGTACCCAGCGTGGCGGCTGGCGAAGGTGTTCCATGCTGTGAAAATCTGACTTGGGTTATGGGAACCGTGATGCCTTTGAAATGGGAGTGGGATGGGGTGTGTGCAGGCGGGTGGGGTGGGCGTGGTCAGCACCATGTTCCTTAGGACCTGGCCAGGGCCCAAACAGCTGCATGGAACCTGGGGCTGGGTGCCCAACCTAGGGTTGGCGCTTGGGCATGATTTCTATCGTGTTCTCAAATGGAAATAAATCCACATTTTGCTGAGGAGGTTTTAGCTAAGCTTCTGCAAACCTTAGCATCGCCTTTGTGCTAATCCTGTCATTATGCAAAGCAGGAAGGATTCTCTCTTGGGTCATGCAAGCAGTGGCCACAGACTCGTCTGTATTGTTCCCTCTTCCCCCAGATATCTAAGCCCTGGTCCAGAATTCTGTGCTATGGGCCGCGGGTGGCTGCACAGTGAGATGAGCACTGGATGACAGAACTGGCTGTAGACCTGCACCCATCCCCACCCAGCTGTATCTAAGGACAACTGAGGGCAGCCACAGGACCTGGCGAGCCTGTTCCTGTTTGCATCATGCCCTATGTGTGTCTCCTACTTCTTTAAAGCATAATGCGGCCGGCGCCACGGCTCACTAGGCTAATCCTCCGCCTGCGGCGCCGGCACACCGGGTTCTAGTCCTGGTCGGAGCGCCGGATTCTGTCCGGGTTGCCCCTCTTCCAGGCCAGCTCTCTGCTGTGGCCAGGGAGTGCAGTGGAGGATGGCCCAAGTCCTTGGGCCCTGCACTCGCATAGGAGACCAGGATAAGTACCTGGCTCCTGCCATCGGATCAGAGCGATGCGCCGGCCACAGCGCGCTGGCCGCAGCGGCCACTGGAGGGTGAACCAATGGCAAAGGAAGACCTTTCTCTCTGTCTCTCTCTCTCTCTCTCTGTCCACTCTGCCTGTCAAAAAATAAAAAAATAATAAAAAAAAAATAAATAAAGCCTAATGCTTCCTACCTTGGGTCCTCTGTGTATACTCCTGGTTTTCAATTTGGTCTGTGACACTGTTGTGATTCCAAACGAATCCAACCAGAGTACTCCAGACGCACATGACAGGTGCACACGTGAGGGGGACAGGGAGAGGGGGCCCCTTTCTCTCCCACACAACCCGTGAAGAGGCAATGGCGACCAGAGACTCTGAGAACAGCCCTAGGGGCGCCCACGGCATCTCAAAGCCTGATTTGTTGACCCAGGAATCCTGCCGCTACTGATGGAAATTGAATTTAACAGACGGAGTTCATTGTTCCCTTGGCTCTAGCCAGACTGACTGGAATTTAAACAGAGAAACACAGGTGTGTTTGACAGAACGGTGAGTAACTGAAACTGCAGCGTATGCCATCACTCTGCTCTGCTCTGGGTTTCTCCTGTGCAAACATCAGACTGCCCGAAGCAGGCCAAAACCTCTGAAGACGGAGGCCCAGCTTCAAACAGGGCGCATCTGCTTTCCAGCCCACTGGCAAAGGATACGCGGGGGAAGGCAGAGCCCCACGGGGCAGGGCTCCCCCACCCAGGCGAGGGCCTTGCTCACTGCACAGAAGGGACCTGGGCTCTGGGCAGAACCCACGACCCTAGGGATCAACACTATGAACCTGCAGACAGGGAGAAGAGGATTGGCGGCCAGGGCAGGTGCCCGCTGCCTGAGGCAGGGATTCTGCCAGGAAATCCAAGGTATCCTTGACCTTGACCTTGGCCATGATCAGAGTGTGGATTAAATGGCACTGACCGGGCACAGAGAACTGTCTGGAAGGCATCACAGTCCCTTGTGGGAGAACCCCTTCCTTTGACCCCACCCCTGTCATCCCCTGCCCCTCCCCCAAGCAGACACTGAGACCCTCCCCCAGGCACTGATGGGCCCCCACCCACCGTTGAGAACAATTAACACTTTCTTCCACTGCGTGTTGCCCACTTTGGGGGTCTGGCAGAAGAGAATCTTGTGCTTGTCACAGACGAATATGCGGTCCAGGACGAACTTGGAGACGGCGGTGTGCGAGAGGTTCCGCAGGGCCTCGTCCCTGCAGGTGTTTCTGATGAGCTCCAGGCGCTGCAGGTAGACCAGGGGCTGAACGTGCATCTCCCCAGTTGGCTGCAAATGACAAGGGACCATCAGCAGGAGCCAGGACTGAGCCGGAGCGGGAGCTGCTCACCACCCACAGGTCCCTTGTCTCTCCTTTCTGCAGAGCGATGGCCACTCCGGTAGCATTTCTCAGAGCCTTCCCACTGCCCTGTCAAGTTTCAGAGATGTATTGGCACACTTGGCCAGAAAAACAGACATAACCTGGCTCATCCAACTTGCAAAAACCAAAAAATGGTGGGGGCCCGCATTGTGGCACAGTGGGTTAAGCAGCTTGCTTGCAATATCTGCATACCATAGCGGAGCACCAATGTGAATCCCAGCTGCTCTACTTCAGATCCAGCTCCCTGCTAACGTGCATGGGAAAGCTGCACAAATACTTGGGCCTCTGCCACCCATGTGGGAGATCTGGAAGAAGCTCCTGGCTTCTGGCTTCAGACTGGTACAGCCCTGGCCATTACAGCCATTTGGAGAGCAAACTAGCAGATAGGCAATCTCTCTATCTCTTCCTATCATGCTATCTTTCAAATAAATAAATAAAATCTTCAAGAAAAAAATAACATAATAAGGAAGATGAAAAAGCTCAAGTCCCAAATGCCCTGGGTGCGCCTGAGACCCACAGAGAATACCCAAACATGAGAAGCCCCTGCTTAATGCCCAAACTACAACTGCTTCGCTGGGGGCTACAACTGCTTGTGAGTCCCGACTGCACACAGAGGCAGCGTCAGCGCTTGTGAAGACAGCTGGTGCTATGGTTTGAACAGGATCTGCCTCGAACACTCACGCAAACGTTTAGACTACAATGTCTCACGTCAATGACTGATGGAGGAAGGGCGGATACTTGATCTAATTCTGGCACCTGGTAGGTGGGTATGTGGGGTCTTGAGGTCACTGGGCACATGCCCTTGGATGGTAGCTCAGCAGAGGGTGAGGGTTGGTTATATAAGCCCATGCACTTCCTGTCTCCCTCTGCACACTGCCACCATCAGGTGCCAGCCTAATGGGGCCACCAACCTCAGACTGTGAACCTCCAAAACTGTAAGCCAAAATACATCTTCCTAAGTAGCTCCTGTCAGGTATCCTAGATAATGAAGAGCTGACAAACACACCTGGGTAAGCCTCACCTGAGTAGCATGTGTGGCATTGTGCATGTGTGTGTGTGTGTGTGCACACTCAGCTGAGGTTTCCCCGGGTGTCTGTGCACACTCACTGATGCATGCGCATGGCGGGGGTGGGGGGAGAGCAGCATGAGACCCAGAGTCGTCAGGGCTTCTGTCCTCCGTGGTGGTCATGGTGGTGCTGTCTGCCCAGACCGGGCCCAGCTCTCAGAAGCAATCTGAAGGGGCCTCTGAAAGGCAGGGCTGCTTCCTCCTCCATGCCGCTCCTTAGCCACCTCTGGCTGGGGCCTTGGAGTTTTCTGCCACCTTCCATTCAAACACTCAACTCCAGGATGCACACAAGAAACATCTAAAGGAAAGCCATGGACCTCACCACCCTTCTTGTGAAAAAAACACAGGCTGAGTTGTTGTTGTTGTTACTGTTACTGAGACACAGAGCCTGAATTTGTTGGCTCACTCCCCAGATGCCTGTAACAGCCAGGGCTGGGCCAGGGCCTGAGCCATGTGGGTGGCAGAGACCAAGCACCTGAGCCATTACTGTTGTCTCCCAGAGTACGCACTGGGGAAAACTGGAGTCAGACGCCAGACCCAGGACTTGAACTCAGGCACTCTGAGGTTAAGACATGGCTGTCTTAAAGACTAGGCTAAATGCCCACTCTTGTACAGAATACTGTTAATAATTCTATGCATGGAACAAATGTGCATGGCATGGGTCAGTGTCACGGCTCACTAGGCTAATCCTCCACCTGCGGCACCAGCACCTGGGGTTCTAGTCCCGGTTGGGGTGCCAGATTCTGTCCTGGTTGCCCCTCTTCCAGGCCAGCTCTCTGCTGTGGCCCGGGAGTGCAGTGGAGGATGGCCCAAGTGCTTGGGCCCTGCACCCGCATGGGAAACCAGGAGAAGCACCTGACTCCTGGCTTCAGATCAGCGCAGTGCACTGGCCGTTGCAGCCATTTGGGGGGTGAACCAACGGAAAAAGGAAGACCTTTCTCTCTCTCTCTAACTCTGCTTGTCAAAAAAAAATGTGCGTGGCATGGTGTTCTACACTTATGGTACCATGCTGGCATTCCACAAACAGTTCTGGACTGTGCAGCATTTCAGGTTTCCGGATAAGGGATGCTCACTCAACTTGTGCCATAAAGCGGGATGCGATGTCACGTGAAAACCTGCTGCTCCCACATGCCAGGGCCGCTGCAGAGGGCCCCCGGGGTCGGCTGCCCGGCCGGTGCCCACCTTCACTTCCCCAGCCACGTGCTTGTCTTCCGGCAGCTTCCCCACTTCCGGCACGGCGGTCAGGAACAGGAGCTCGTGCTTGGTGCTGTAGCCTGCAGGAGCGAGAGGGTGAAGCGTCTTGTTGAGAACAGGCGGGGGGAGGGGGACAGAGGCCCCACAGCAGATCCGCACAGACGCCCGGCTGGCTTCTGACCAAGGTGCAGCAGCAGCCACTCGGCGGGGGATCTGGGGCAGCCGGACACTTAGAGAGCAAAGACATGGACCCTTACCTGAACCTCACACCCTAAGAAAGCACGGACTCAACGCGGGCCACAGACACAAATGTAAAACCTGAAGCCTAAAACAGGACAGGTGGGACACTCTCTCGAGACACTGATACACTGAACTTCGGTAACAACAAGCACTGTGGCTGTGCAGAGCCTGTCTGAGAGGAAGAAAACACACACTACAGACTGGGAGAAAAATATTTACAAACCACGCGTCTGACCGAGGCCTGGACGACACAAAGAACTCTCAGAATTCAAGTGAGAATGCCAAACAAGCCGGTCAGAAAACGGGCAAGACAGGCACACACCCTTCTCTGAAGAGGATCTAAAAGGAGGTTCCCCATCACTAGCCACGAGACAGATGCAAAGTAAAACCACAATGAGAGGAGCCAGAGCTGTGGTGCAGTGGGTTACACCGCCGCCTGCAGACCCGGCGGGCTGCTTCCAGCCCAGCCCAGGCCCCTGCTAACGTGCCTGGGAAAGCAGTGGGGAGACCCGGATGGAGTTGCAGGCTGCCGGCTTTGGCCTAAGTCCAGCCCTGGCTGTTGTGGCCATTTGGGGAGCGAACCAGTGCATGGAAGAGCTCTCTCTGTCTCTCCCACTCTGTCACTCTGCCTTTCAAATAAATAAATATAATAATACTTAAAAAAAAAAAAACCTCACAATGAGATATCACTCAATAACTGTCATAGGCAGACATGGATGTCAGAAACATGAAAACTTACATTTATGCAAAAACTTGTACACATGTTTTTTTAGGAGCTTCATATATAATAGCTCCCATACGTCAGTCTGCCGTCGCCAGGTGAACGGGTGACAAACGATGGTATTCCTGCGGAATACGGCACAGCAAGCCATCTGTGTAAGCACCACGTTGGGTCAATTTCCTGGGAGTGACGCTAAGTGAAAGGGAGCCAGTCCTAAAAGGCCACATACTAAATACGTGACAATTCTGCAATGACAAGATTAGGGAGAGGGGAGCAGTTTAGTGGTCGCTGAGGGCTGGCGTGTGGCGGGGACGTGGGTGTGGCTACAGAGGGCACAGCCAGGGCCTCCTGATGACCAAGCTGTCCTGTGCCGACTGCCTTGGGGACGGCATCCTGCTGTGCACCTGCGCTGCAGTTCTCTGAGGCACTACCCACGGGGGAGACTGAGTCAAGGGGGCCACGGGAGTACCTGTGTTATTTCTCGCAACTGCACGTGACGCCACGATGCTCTCGGAACGGAACAGAGACCATCAGCGGCCAGGCCGGTGTTTTCACACCAGCCAGAAAAGTCGTGGGAGTTGCGCTCACAATGGGGTGGGGGGTGGGGTGTCTCACAAGGTGCCTGTCCTGGGTAATCGGTGCAAGCAGGAGAGGGGGGGTTTCCAGCGTCCCCCATGGGGGTCTTGCGTGCAAGGGTCTGCCACAATCGGGGCATGCGACCATGCTGAAGACCCATCGCCTCTGATTCCAGCGACACTGCATCACTTGACCTTGTCCTTCCAACCGAGCCTCTGGTCCCAGTGTGAACCAGGAGGCTCCAGGCCCTGCCTGGACACGGGTGTGACACAGCCTCCCTGAGGCTGAACCTCACAGCCCTTCTCCCAGTGTTCTCACTGGTGAGCACAGCCAGTAACTGTCACCACCTAGGGCTCACCACAGGGTGTCCTTCTCTTCCCTGCAACCCCGCCCTCCCACCCTGCTCCCCTGCTCGTCCACACACAGCAGGAGGCGTATGGCATGACAGCCTCAGCTCACCAAGGGCATGCTGGAGCTCTCTGGGGTGTGGCTGGAATTCTCTGGGGTGTGGCAGTTGCCTGGGATAAATCCAGAAAACTCCTAGTGCAATATTTCTAGCCATGCCTCCCATGGGCCGCCATCGGCAGGAGGGCCAGGGGGAGCCCTGCCCTGCAGAACCAAGAAACGGTGATCACCTGCCTCGGGCAGAGGGTCCAGGTCCATTAAGGACCTTCTGATGTCTCCCCAGCGCTGCCTGGCCCCTGCAGGGAACGTGTCGCTGCACTGACCCTGCACGTCCCAGCCCCCTGCCCATGGCCCGGACGCTGTCAACACAGGAAATGTGTCTGCTCTATGCAGAAGACACTGAGGCTGGGGGAGGCAGATGACAGGAGCACGAAGTGCAGCCGGCAGCTCTGAGACTGAACTGATGGCCCCGTGCATCCTCACCTGGAGGACTACGTTCAGGAAGGAGGAGTTACCAAAGTCCCTGGGTAGGTAAGAAGCCCTGTGCATGAAGGGTCCTCCTTCCGCGGCACCGCCGGGCCCTTCAAACACGTGCTCCCGGCCTGCAGCACCTGCAGGCACCCAGTCACGCCGGGCAGCTGTGCCTGGGCCTCTCACGATGACACGAGGTGGACAGGACCCCAATCCGGAGCCTGCAGGACACCCTGAAGCAACTTCCGGCCTGTGAGGGAGGCGCCCGGGAAGAACCGGCTGCCCGGTTCTACCTCCCCTCTCGCACTTCTGTGGCGTGGAGGTTCTGGACGCCACACACAGCCTGTGATCCTGGGAGAGTGATCACCTGGGCACGCACCTGGGAACAAGGAGCTACCTACCATCTGGGTCTTTAAAGGTCAAGGTGATGAACTTGCTGGCCACCATGAACATGAAGATCACCCAAAAGCAAGCGGCCAACAGAAGCCACTGCTGGTGCATGTTGTCGAGCGTCAGACCCTCAACGATTCCTCCTGGAAGACACAAGCGGGATGCCCTTGATGTGTGCAGGGAAGTCAGCGAGACAAAAGGTAACAAGACAGACAGGCGATCACAGTGACAGTGTGGATGGGAGTATGGGCAATCTCAAAGCGTTCTTGACCAAAACAGGCTTACTGTTTAAAAACAATTCAGAGAGAGAGAGAGAGAGAGAGAGATCTCCTTTCCACTGGCATACTCCCCCAAATGCCTGCAGCAGGTGGGGCTAAGCCAGGACAGAGCTGGGAGCCAGGTACTCAATCCGGGTCTCCCAGGTAGATGACAGGAATCCCACTGCTCAAGCCATTTCTGCCTCCAGGCATCTGAATGGGCAGGAAGCCAGTGGACTCACACCCAGGCGTTCTGATGTGGACGCAAGCATCCCAACTGGTGGTCGGACTCTTCAGCCAAATGCCCATCCCTAACTTATTTTTTGATTCCATTTTTCTATGAACATTTTTGAAATGCCCTTGTACAAATATTAAAAAAAAAAAAACTTTCCATTGCTATAATTAGTTGACTTGGTATATAAAAGTTCACCTTTTTAAAAAAAAAAAGATTCATTTATTTATTTGAAAGGCAGAGAGATGGAGAGAAGGAGACTCAACTGGAGGGGTGGGAAAGGGAGGAGGGGGCGGTATCTTCCATCTGCTGCTTCACTCCTCAAAAAACCTAACAGCCAGGGCTGGGCCAGGCTGGAACCGGGAGCCCAGGACTCCACCTGGGTTTCCCATGTGGGTGGCAGGGGCCCAAGGTCTTGGGCCATCTTCCGCTGCTTTCCCAGGCACATTAGCAGGGAGCCAGATTGGAAGCAGAGCAGCTGGGACTCGAATGGGTGCTCACACAGGATTCTGGTGTCACAAGTGGCAGCTTAACCTGCTGTGCCCCAGTGCCAACCCCTAAAAGCTCCTATTCAATTAATAACCTAAAAGACTCTTTACATAATTAGGTTGTACGTGTAGCACCCTAACGGATGGAGGCAGCAGTAAGGAGAGGAGAGGATGCCATCTCTGTTTCTAGAGCCTGGGCTAAGAGTTTGCTTCATGGTTTTGCCTCCAGACCCCTGCCTGGCCAGGACTGATGTCATCGGGGGCCTGGAAGCAGGTCAGCAGGAGGCCTACCAAACACATGACCAGCGTGTTTGCTGGAGTCCCCAAGTACACTTGCCAAACAAACAAAAGGTAAATTTCAGTTAAATAAGAAAAAAATTATTTTCCTATTAATACATCCCAAATGTTGCATGGGATATCCTTATGCTATAAACACTATTTGTCATTTTCTGAAATTCGAATTTAGCCCCTTGTCCTATAGGTTATCTCATGACAGCACCCATATGAGGCTTGCCAAATTCCCCTCCGCCTGCCTGAAGTCGCTGTCCCACTCCCTCTTCCCGCCACTCCTTGTCGAAGGCCGCGCATCACCAAGTGGAGAGGCTGTGTTGCTCACAAGTCCTGTGACCCAGCAGGTCACCGGACAGCTCTAAGCCTCGGGGTCCCATCTCTGAGGGCAGGCCCGCCTCCTCCCAGGTGGTCTCAAGGGCTGAATCAGTGAACGTGGGTGTGAGGACCAGCACCCACCTGGTCTGCAGCAGACCCTCAGGGAACCGAGGCTGACCAGCCCCTCGGCACCCGTGGTGACCTTCTGGTTTAATCTACGTCTCTCTAAGTAGGATCATCAGAAATGACCCAAAACTGCAAGATCTGCCCTAAGAAGGGAGGAAAGAAACAATAGATGAGACGTCTCACTTCTTCCTTCTAGGAACAAGTGAGGCTTAGACTGTGCCCGGAGGACCCAGGACCCCACAATCCCAAGTCCACGGAACTGCTCTGGGATGGTGACACTCGGAGGTGCCATCCCAGTGGTCAAGGAAACCCCAGCTGCAGGCCTTTCCTTATTATTATTATTTTTTTAAGATTGATCGATTAATTTGAAAGGCAGAGTATCAGAGAGGGAGCAGGGAGGACAGACCTTAGAGACAGAGAGATCTTCCATCCATTGATTCACTCCCCAAACGCTTACAACAGCAACAGTTGGTCCTGGCTAAAGCCAAGAACTCCATCCTGGTCTCCCACATGGGTGGCAGGGGCCCAAGCACTTCAGCCATCATCCGCTGCCCCCCGGGGGCACTAGAGGAAAGCTGGATCTGAAGCAGAGTGGCAGGGACTTGAACTGGTGCTCTGATATGGGTGCCAGTGGCACAAGCAGCAGCCTAACCTACAGTGCTACAATGTGGGCCTCTCGGCAGCATTTTCTGAAGAGGAGCCAAGGGTCAGTGTGGGCTGAGGAGCGAGCACAGAGCAGAGACAAGTACAGAGCAGGCGGCGTGCGGTTCTGAACAGAGTGGCCAGGGCTTGCAACCCACACTCTCCAGAGATGCACACAGAGGACAAGCGACACGGACAAGGGAACCGCCGGGGCCAGCCTCGCTTTTACGGGCAGATGTGCGCGCTCTGCAGAGCAGATGGCACGGGGGCTTCGGGGCCCTGCCAGATCTGTGCCTGCTCTGCTCACGCCCTGTGTACCTCCAGGTGTCCTGGCCCAGGCCAGCGCTCAGGAGGTTTTTATAAGTCTGGAATCTAATCTCTCCAGGATGGTCTCAATTGGAGGCCATCCTCTGAGCTCACCTCTAGGTGATGAAGGAGGATGCTGAACAAAGCTTGCCTGAAAACGAAGGGCACCTCACCTGCTCTCCAGGAAGCCAGGTGGCTCAGCTGGGCCGGATGACAAGTGAGAGCTACAGGACCCCGAAGAGCCTGCTCTGCATTCTCATCGGAGGTCAGGAGCTTGCAGCAGCTTCTGCCCCAGCTGGGGCCCGGGGCCACCTGTGCTCCTCTCCCTCTCCCCAGCCGAGGGCCCCGGTGTTGTCATCTGTTAGGACAAAGCAGCCACCTGCACACCCACCAGCACAGTCCTCACCAACCACACAACTCGCAATCCATCACCCAACACAGCCTTCCAGACGGGAACTTCATTTTCTAAAAAGCTCAACGTGCAACGTGACTGCTGTAAACTGAACTGAGCCGCCCAGAATGCCCTTCCCCCTCCCAGGCAGGCCACTGCAGGGGGTTGGAGAAGGGCAGTCTACAAAGCCACCACTCCCTTCACAGATTGTCTGTGGCCTCCGGCCCCTGGGCAGGCACCCAGGACATGTGGGAACTTCCAGGGGGGCTGTGGAACTGGAAAGCTTCACACATACGACCCCCAGCGCCTGCCAAGACTGTTCTCTGGGGAAGAGCATTCGCTGCGGGTCCCTTGCAGTGCCCGGAGGGCAGGCGTCCTGGCCAAGCTGTCGTCTGCCAGTGACCCCACATCACTGGACCTTGGCCCGTGTCCTACCCTGACCCAGCAGAGCCTGAATGCATTTGCTGTCCACTGTCTGCTTCCCCTGGAGAAGGGGACCTTGAGCTAATCAGTACCCCAAGCACCGGGACCAGGGTGTGCACCAAGGCCCAGATGGTGCCTGGCCAACAGTCATTAGTTGCTCGATGACATCAGCCCAGCTAGGAAAACTCAGGAGAGCTGGGGGGACTTCAGAAGGCAATTTGTCCAACCCTCTCCCTGAGTGTTTCCAAACTTCCTAAAGTCCCTGTATAGCCTCAAAATATTTCTCCAATCTCCACCTGAGCCTGGGAGTGGCTACTTATCTAATAAGCACTACCTGAGACTGGCAAACCACCAAAGGCCGCTGGGACTTCAGCATGCATGCATTTGAAGATGCTGACCACTGGGTTAAGAAACCATGTTGGAGGCCAAAAAGATTTCCTTTTAAATTTCAAATAAAACTCTAAGCTGAAAGGTAAGACAATGATACAAAGCTTACAATGTCAAGATGTATCAGGAAACAGAAAAGGCAAGCTGCAGGACTGAGCACATCCACCTATTTGTTAAAAAGTACTGCTATGTGCCTGTGTCCCAAAGTGTATACATGCAAACACACACAAACATGTAATGCACAGAATAAAATTTTGAGATTACACTTTTTTATATTATGTAATTTTGTATCTTCAAAAAATGTTTGCAGTATGCATGTATATTTTCTATAATAAAACCCAATAAAACACAGAAAAATGCCACCTACATACACGGACCCTGGTGTTTCTATTTCTGCAGTTAAACTTTTTCTACCCTACTACTAAGCAAAGTTTGGCACTTCACATGGTGTGGGAAAGGATGGCAAATACTTTTCTAGCCAGGAGAGAAAACGTAGTGAGCTGGCAGTCGGTATTTGAATAGTCAGTAAATACAGCTTCATATTTATTAGCTTTTATTTAATTTTCAAAAGCAATTAAAGCATAATGTACAGAAAATAATGCAGTCAGCCTTCCTTGCCTGCGGGTTCTGCACCCACGGATTCAATGGACCTTAGGCAGAAAACAATGAGGCTGTACCGAACAGGCACAGACATTTTCCTCATATTCCCTACACGGTACGGTGTGACAACTGTTGACCCAGCTGCACGGCAGGTATTGTAAGTAGTGGAGAGATGATTTAAAGTATGTGGGGGGTAGGCACAGGTTACAAGTGAATACTGTGCCATTTTCAAAAAGATCTCAGTGAGTGAGATCCCAGTGGAAAGAACAGGTCTTCAAAGAGGGAGGTGCCTTTCTCTGAAGGGAGGAGAGAACCTCCACTTTGACTATGACCGTGTCTAAACAAGATAAGAGTCGGAGAACTCAAGGGGCTTCCATAGCCTTGGAAACTCATGACTGGTGCATAGGGAGATACTGATGCCATAAACAGGAGTGTCAATTTGTAAAGTCAACAACAGGAGTCACTGTGCACTTACTCCTCATGTAGGATCTCTGTCCTTAATGTGCTGTACACTGAGGCTTAATGCTATAACGAGTACTCAAACAGTATATTTCACTTTGTGTTTCTATGGGGGTGCAAACGATTGAAATCTTTACTTAATGTACACTAAACTGATCTTCTGTAAAAAAAAAAAAAAAAAGAAATTATCAATTCCCAACTTGACTCTCACTGGGATTAAACATGA